GGCATTTTGGGATATGCGCTTGCTTATAAGAACGTCTTGATGTGTATTTGAGGTCAGGGCCAAGGTTTTGCAACTTGAGTGGTTAGATGTTTTAGGCCCCTATTGGAATAGCATAGCGAGGGCTTTTTCCTTTATGAATCTAACTGTTATAGTGTTTAGATAAAGGTACTTGGAGAGTCTGCTTTTAAATGTCGCCTCATTGTCACATACCCTGAGTGTGCTTGATAGTTTAATCCACAGAGAGCTATATTTGACTAGGAAGAAGTTTGAGCAAACGTTCGCTTTAGCTTCGGTATATTCAGAAAACCATTTTCATTGCGAAGCTGTCGAGTTGAATTTTGTTGCATTTCGAGTGTAGGTAGGTCGTAATAGGTCTTTTTGTGTAACAGCTTGCAAAGTAGCAACAATTCCTGCTTTAATTGTAGAACGCAAAGTGGTGCGAGTTGAAGTTCATTGCAACGTTCTCGATAACTCACGGCAGAGAGTTTAGCAAGCATATTTTTAGTTAATGACCTCTGCGGGTGCTCCACAGCAATTCTGTGAATATTTCGCATGTTACCACATAATATGTTGCATCATTCAAAAATAAGTCGGGTAAGCAACTTAAAACGCTCAGCTCTATCATGGTTGTGTTGATTTAGTTGCATATGTTGGACACAGATTACTTGGCGCTTGCTACTTGATATTGGGCCTGTTCGGAGAAACTGTAGGTAGACGAGTACCTAATTCCAAGGTCACGCGTGAACAGCTGTGTAGGGATGTGGTCATGTTTTAGTGGGATAGATCCTTTGGGGGTTGAGCAGTCGTAGGCTCATCACCCACGTTTAGCACCATGACTCAAGGGAATGTAAGTCATCTTGTCTGAGCAGCAGTACTCGATGAAGATCGTCACGCTGAGGCTTATAGACCATCTTGTTATTGTGAACCAATAAAAATGGTCTACCATGTTTGGCTGATATGGTGATGTCATTGATATACAGCCAACAAAAACGTCTAGCTTTCTCCTTATAAAAGGTCCCTTATTTCTTTTTAACAACGCAACTTGGCGCACGTGACTTGCTACCAGATAAATGCATTGTCCATGCATATCTAAGTTATCATATGCACTTCATGGAAGTCAGTTTTTCACCTCGACGCTTTTATTCGATCCATCCTTACACTGGCAACGTAATCTGACATATTTAACGATGCACTTGCACAGCTTCAAATCCATGCGGTACATTTAAAAATATACACATTTGCACACTAATGTGCACGGGTCTATTGTTGCTAGCGTGCTTAGCACATTTTCGTATCATTCGTAGTCGTTCTACCATGCTTATGCCTCAAAAGAGGTGCCTCGCATTCTCCAGGATAAACTAATTGTTTAGTTAACTGATCGAGTTACAGAGCTCGGAAGTGATAACTGACGCCTTTCATGGAGGTTACTCACATAGAAAACGGCCTACGCCTTGTGTAGACAACATACCATCGCAAGCAGCTGACTATCGTGCAAAGATAAGGCGGGATCGGCGAGACAGCTTCCTTGCGACTTTCACTGCCACTCGTCATAATCAGCCATTACCCAGCAGATAACTCAACACCAAACACACTTTAAACAGGCATTCCGATTAGAAGACTGCAGCAGACGCGTGACTGGTACCGGTTGCGAGCCTTGATGTCCTGTAGTCTCGAGCCAAGCACCTTGACTCCAGCCTGGAACACGAGACGGACCAACGGCACCCAGTTTAGCCGTCAGTGACTTCATTTCCCGCTGACAAGTCAACTTCTGTCCACCAGGAGCTTTGCGCCATCCTACGCCCGATAGACTAAACAAGACCCTCCTAGGTAAGCGTTGACCAAGCATACGTAGCATGTGCCCGAGCTAACGCAACCTATTCAATGCTATCTGTTGTTCCAGAGAGCTAGCATTATTCTCATTAACTAGTACCCACCTACGCACATCATCGTTGCGGACACACTGGTGCCATCCGACACTAGCAATGCTTCGCAAACAACGATGATCAAAGACTTGAAGGCGCCTCAGATCTTCAGACCGAAGGGGCCAAGTCTCACTGCCATAGAGCAGAACGGCCCTCACTATGGCCTTGTATACACTACCTTTCGGACGGAGGAAACTGTCTTCTGTCGCAGATTCAAGAAGACAGCTCTGGCCGTTAATGTGCGTGAGCTAACTTCATTTTCTATGCGCCCATCGTTGCGGATGCAGCTGCCAAGATAAGTGGTTTGATCAACCACCACGATTTCCTCGTTAGCACGGGTCAAGAGTTCATAAAGTGGTTGGTGTTCCTGCAGCGACATTTTGCACTTTAAAGGTACAAAGCGCATACCAAATAATGGGAGCACTCTGAACAGGCTATTCAGGGTTGATTGTGTCGCCGCAACATCGTCGAAAAGCAAGACCATATAGTCCGCATAATCTAGATCAACTTACCTTTCACCAGGCAGCACTTCGACGCCTAAATCATGAGATTCCGCAAGGGTACACTCCATGATAGTATCCACGACGAAATTGAGCAAAAATGGGGAAATCGGACAACCCTGATGAACGCTACTTGTGGTCGGAAATCTATCCGACAGGCCACCGTAAACCCTGACGCGGCCTGTAGTGCTCGAGGATAGAGCACGAAGGATGTTCACATATTTCGTAGGAACACCTTTCCGCGCAAGTATTTCGAACAGAATTAATCGATTGACTGAATCGAACGCACACGTGAAATCGAGGATCACAGCTATTGTCGATCTGCGGTATGAGTGGCGCTGCTCTAGCATCTGCCGCAAGGTGAATACATGTCTATACATCCAAGCCTTGAGCGGAAACCCGCCTGCTCTTCCCTAATCCGAGATTCCCGTTCCACAGTGAAGCGACGAACGAGAATCGAAGCCAGTAATTTTATCACTACTGGCGTCAGACTAATCCCCCTGTGGTTAGACCAGTCTGTGCGACTACACTGCTTGTATATTGCCACCATAATTAATTCGTTCCAATCAGCCGGGACACTCTCTTCCTTCCAGATAGGTTCGACTAGGGAGGTCAGTGTTTTTCGGAAGACCTCACCTCCATGCTTAAACAGTGCAGATGGGAGAGAATCTGGACCAGCAGCACGAAAACGATTGAGAGCTGTGATCGCGCTTCAGAGCTCGGCTTCCGACGGAGGCTTTAAACTAACCGTCCATGGCTGGACCTGCATCACGTGAGTGGGAAGAGGTTAGGGAACAGGGTATCAGCTGAACTGATCTTGGAAGTGCTCCGCCCAACGAGCCATACGGCGCTCCGTATTGTGTATAAGTGCGACCGAGCGGTCTTCTAATGTGTCACTGACCCCTGTTTACCTAGGACTCGTGGTTCGGATCAGCTGGAAGAGCTTGCGGTGATTGCCTACTGCTCGTGCCTCCTCCATTTCTTTAGCCCGAGTGGCCCACCTGGCTTCCTTGTCAGCACGTAGTCTATGCTTTAGTTCGCGCCTTACAGCCCGTCTGGTCACACTGTGCTCAGAGCTAGCCGGGAGGTTTCTTCTAGATTCCAATAGATTCATCGACCTCTCGGATATCCAGTGACTGGCGCGGTCGTCATTGATAGTGCCACAAGCAGATGCTCCTGCGTCGTACATGGCGGCCGAGATCCTATTCCACTGAAGCTCAATGTCATTAGAACAAACACGGCGAAAGTCAGGTATGCAGTGCGTCTTTATAGGCTTGCCTGACCGAGGGCGGAGACAATTTCTCAGTTGCCATTCGGAGGAGACGCTTGGTGCTCTTCCCAGTTAGGTTCATGGAGAAACGACAGCGTACCAAAGCATGATTAAACTCGACGCAGGTATTCCAGTACTTGCGGTAATCCAGGATGGAACCACGCCACCTGTAAACCATGATCATGTGGTAAATTTGGGTCCATCGCTTGCCAGCTAAAGAGGGACGCCAAGTGGCACTTCGGCGCCCACTGTGTCTAAAAGCAGTGATACGGTGAAACAACTGGTGCTCCGCACACAGTTGAAGCAGACGCTCACCGTTTTCAGTCCGTTCGGAGCTAAACCCATAATCACCACCCAGCTGAGCTTCTGAAGATCTCAGAAGCCCTACTTGTGCGCTTATATCCCCAGCAAGTACTAGAATATCTGAACTAGTAGCACTGGGTAGTAGTGCGTTCAAATTGAGTGCAAAAACACTACGCATGGACACTAATCTTAAAACATTTAAATGTGGTGGGACATAACTTCGACTAAAGGAGAACGGTGATTCTGGCTCAAGTGGCGACACAAAATGGAAGGGAATTCCTAGGAGCTTGACTTTCCCTTAATAATTCTATCAACGTGCGTATTGACATTGACCCCATATATCAAATTGTACTATCACTGGGAATTTGAAAGGTAGTCCTCGCGATGTACAGACCAAGCTGCCAGTACAGCCACGGGGAGAAATGTGTAAAGACCATAGGCCGCGAATCGAATACATCACTTTCAAAAGCCACTTGCCTGTCAATCACGAATAGATGCTTTAGCGAGGTGGCCTACCACGCATCATTGTAATGACGATACAATCTAGCTATGGTGGTGAAACTTTTGTTAACATTTAATCAACCTGGGCAAACCAATCAACCAATCCGGGTTACTAAGGTTTAAAATCATTTCGCGGACGATTTCCCATATATCTCTTTTCCTTTCAGGAGTACGGGTTCAACATGACAACTTATCTCCGCTTCTTATATATACACCATATATGGAATCCCTAATATCCAAGGTCTGACAAATGTTTAGATTTTAGGGTGGTATTTTCATGCACTGAAAGACAAGATACCTCAAAGTAAACCACAAGACGGTGCAAACCAAATAGTTCTGCCTACACTTGTGTTAGGTAATCTACCCTACTCTGTTTCAATCAAATTTTGCGACAACGATGGTATGCCGTCACCCGTTGCCTCAAGGAGCTCAATACCTCGCAACAGAAATGAAAAACTTACCGTGGTTCAGCCCGTGCCTCACGTAAAGTAAAAGCGCTTGTTTAACGGAAATAAGTAAGACTTTATGAGTAAATGAGTAAAACAAACAGTGAAGTGCCAGTGGAAGCCATGTGTTGCGATGTGCGAAATCGGTTATTGTGTAGGATAAAAAAGGGATACATCGGAATGGTTGGCAGTCCTGAAATGCCATTTGATGTGCACTCGGATTTGGATTGACAGAGCTCACAATTCATTCGTTTCATTGATCGCCTCAAGCAATCAGCGTTTTCAACAAACAAGTACACGGGGTAGGATCCCGCCAATGTGTGAAAAATAACGAGTATAAAAAGAAACCAAGGTAAGAAATAGACGTAGACGAGCAAATGGAAAAAGTTGCCTCGTCTTTTCTTTCTCTCACAGCCGATAACCAGGGATCCGGAGCAATAGCGAACCGTAATGGGGATATGGTAGCATTGGGTTTGACTCCTGTGATATATATTTGTGGGTTTTCGAGAATAATGTCCTATACAATCGTCTGAGAGTAAGATTGCGGGTAAGGTATCCGGTTTTGATTAATAAGTACCAGGAATGGGCTGTTCGTTGCGAGTCGGAAGGACAAGCAAAAGGCACTTTTGGTAGAACTGCGTCGCGGACAAGTAGAATTCATATTATATTGCCCAGTGATAATCGGTTCTTTATGCGTTTTAGGTATCATTCGTTCCTGTGAATACTTTGGGCAACTCAATTCAAACAGTAACTTTCTCCTAGTATTAAAAAATAGCTACTTAAAGATAAAATATAAAGTAACTAAGAAGTGAAGGTAGTAGGCAGCGCATGACGCAGCAATCGTAATAACGACGTGAATTCCCATGTCTGAGACATCAATTCCGTTCGGATTTCTCTAACAGGATGCTTCCCTCTACTTTCACTGTAGTTTGGAATCAACCGTTACATGCTGCGTGTCGGTGTATTTCCAAATTTAGTACCATCAAGCACCGTACCTCTCTTGTAAAGGTGGCGTGCTTAGACGACCATCGTTAGCATTTGATTGACCGGATTTGTTGCAGTCCATTTCATCATTGTCGAACATGGAAAATAAATAGTCAGCTGCCTGAGCAGAATGCGATTCGGTGAACCATGGTAAACTGAGTAATTCTTGTGAGACGGAAGGACTTGAAGACCAACACATTGGAGAGAGTAAGTCACCAGACTGGCCATTAGCAACAGTGGAGTCCCTAGATGAGCCGATTGCTGAATCGTTTGATAGCGAACTGTAGGTGCCGTTGAGACTGGCTGTCAACCCAAGATCCAAATCCAAAGGAATAGGTCCGCTGGCTTCAACTAGGTTGTCCAGGGTATCGAAGTCAAACCTCGCCGAACCGATATCCAACCCTTCTAACAGTGGGCTATCCGATGTGGTGAACTGGGCTTCTGAAGTTGTTAACTCAGACTGCTTTTCAAGACCGGAGTCCGAACCGCCCAAAACATTTTGCTCTTCTGGACCACAAGGTCTTACGGATGTGATTGCGTTGTTCATTGTAGAAGTCGCATATATGGAACTTGGATAACTTGTGTGCACGTACTCAGTGACGGAGTCCATTTGTCCATACAGCCCCACACTACCATGCATGGCAGGTTGATCAATAATATGAGATTGCACCACCTGGTTGCTTTCACCATCCGGAAGGAAAACAGCAGCCCACCGCGGCATACGAAAGCGATCGGGCGATGAACCTAGGTAGCATTCAGCCTCACCAGAAGTGGGATAAAGACGTCCAAAGTGTACCGAAGCGTCTGATGGTTTAGACGGGAAAAGCTGCTTGCATGCTTGTGTCTCCACTCGTCGTGGAGTAGAATGGCGACTGGGCGGTAGTGTGTGGTAAATGTGTCCGTCAGAACAGCCGTTGGATTCATACAAAGACACCGAAGAACGATCTGATCCAGATGTAATTGAGAGTGAATTTGCTTGGTTGGAATTGAATCCACGACGTATAGGTGATAAGGCTTTTGAACAGTATTGTGGAGTCGGCCAAGCAGGTCTTGCAAGCACGTTCTTGTTAGGTGAATTCCACATGAGATTTCCCTGATAACTGTGTTCAGTCGGCTGGTGAGTGGCTAATCGCCTACATGCCATTTCTCTATCCGGGTTTGAAAGTGGGGGCCAAATGCACGCGGCATCTTCGTCGTCAGTCGTACCAACCAGCGGAAGACTAACGTCGCTTTCTGTCCAGCTTTTCTCCTTCTCATCAAGCATTTGTTCAAGACACTGGCGTCTCGATTTTACTCCTCTTTGGTTGCGGCTCACCAATGTATGGGGGTCTTTGTCTTTACTTCTATAACTCTCATCTCCTTCATTAGCACAGCACCGATTAAATGGAGCACGAGGAAAAGTCCACTTTGAAAATCGACGCCGAGGCTGCAAATGCAATAAGTTGTTGAATGATAGAGACAAATAATAAGACAGAGTAGGTAAACTGGCACTTATTTTTGCAAAGTTGCTACGTTGGTGTACATGATATGGGCTTGCAGCAGTCTCAATTCGGCTCAAACTTATCATGTTCAGTTTACCTGATATATTAGGATCCAGCCAGTCTCTGTCTATGTTTGCTTTTAAATATGCTGAACACCTTCAAACGAACTAGCTATACAATATGTAGGTGAAGAACGCTGACCATTGCAAACTTAGCATTATAATCGGTTGGCCTTTTTTGTTCTAGTTGTTAATGGCAGATCCATCTACAATCATTTTATTAATTCCCACGTTCAATAAATTACGGAGACTGACGCTAGAAAGCGGAAAAGAAACACCCAGCTGTACGAGGAGCAGTGCCCCGGAAGAAAGTGGTATTTATTTCAATTTGTTTATAAGTCCCTAAGTAATAGACTAAGCGAAATAATTAAACAAACATCTCGCGGCCTCGTTAAATCGAAAACGGTAAAATCTCGTAAACTGGGATTTATTCAAAAACAATATATGATTTCCTCACGTTGGTTGGTCCAATTTATACTGAAATTTGACTAGGGTGAATAATCCTGAACCCAACAAACTTAAGTGCGTTTCTGCTGGTCGTTAACTGGAAAATCGCCCTTACGGCTTAGCGGGAAATCAGTAAAAGCCACAGAGTTTTACGGAACAATTCAGCTAAAAATAAACATGGTGCATTCTTTAATACTCACCGGAAGAATGCGAGTTGGCATCACTCTGATTTCTGTCCCTGTCTGACGCCTATGTGTTCGTTGCCGATCTTTTAATCTATAGTTCTCCAGTTTCAGTTGCTTTTCATCTGATGGTCTTCTCAAACCGATAAGTCTGTGAGCTGATGTAGGTTTTGACTTTTCGGAGCCTTCTCGTCTGACGTAACCATGTTCAGCTGATCGTGTGGGTAACGTTTTGCGGACCTGATGGGTTAAACCGTAGCAGAACCTTCTGCAGTTAGTATGCTCACATTTTGCTGGGTTCATACCACGAGTCATTGTGGTTCTTTCGTGGAAAGGAGTGCCACGCCTTCCTTCATACTGGTCGTGTTTGTCTGGTTTGTTGTCACATAACCTAGGCAAGTCATCTTCAAAATTTCCAAAGTCTGGTTCCTCAATATTGTTCTGTCTATGAACCGAACTTTTTCTGCGGCGAACTGGCGCTCCAAGTTGGGGACATTTGGCTCCTGCCGAAGTTGTTTCGTTTGCATCCCTGGTGGGCCTGAACCCGGAAACAGAAAGGACTGAGTTTGGTGAGGAGGTCAACGGCTGATCGATTTTGAGCTGAGGCAAAGAAATCGGTGGTAATCTGTTTAAGTGGCTTTTCTGAGCATCGTACCCGACTGGTGAGAGGGCAGAACCCAAGGAATTCGGCGACGATGATACCGAAGATGTTGATGAACCTGATCGTGGTGACAGTTCTGTGGTCAATGGTTTCTTTATCATACCACTGAAGCAGTTGCCAGTTTCCGGTTGCTGGGTTTGCGATGCCGTCACAAGTGCACTATACAAGTTATAATTGTTTCCAGCTGACATTAGATGTTGCTGCGATGGGTTAGGTCGCTGTAGTAGTTGCTGCTGTATCAACATGGATCGAGGAATCGGCGGTGGAGGTCCTGGGGGAGGTGCAGCGCGCCGACATTTTGCCAAATTGGCCTCTAACCAATCGACGTGCTTCGGACTAACCCGCCAAAACCCGCCCTTACCGCGTTCATTTTTATCTCTTGGGACCTTCTCAAAACACTTGTTAAGTGATAGGTTGTGCCGAACAGAATTCTAGAGAAGATGGTAGGAAAAGTGACGATGATCAAAATGCATTCACCAGTAGTATGGACAAAGCATACGTGCGTCAGGAATTAATGCAGCATATATTTGAACAAGGCATCCGGTTGGGTCGCTTATATTAGGTTGGCAATAAATGAGTTTGCGCTTTTTGACATTTTAATTTAACAGCGGTGCTTCCAAACAGTTTTAATAAGTTGCTTTGACTTTGTATATCATTTGGAAGCCTCCTTTATGTTCTATGTACCCATGGTGCCAGTTTATCCCTGAAGCACACTTTTACTTCCCCTACGGAACCTAAAATGCAAACTGGACAAAATACAAATTCGCACAATTATCTTGTACCAATTTAAGCGGTCGAAATACAGTAGAAACAGTCCATGATATCAACAGTGTACTTGGTGCTGGCACCATGAATATGTTTAATACACAATGGTGGGTTCAGAAATTTTGAAATTGTTACCAGAGGCTTGAAGATGGAGTTCGTTTCGGACGGTCATTACAGGTGAACCATCATCAATTCAAAGCCTTAGTTAAATCAGTTTTGCGTAAAACTATTCGAGTGGTTGCTACTGGATAATGGGTATCGCATATGATTGTTAAAATACTTACGGGCGATTGGGATGACGGAAAAGCTTGATAAGTGGGTGCCGTACAAAATGAGTGAAAGTCAAAGAAATCGTTTGGTGTCTTCCTCCTCCCCTCCTCTGCGCAATAAAAACCACTGTTTCGCTACCGGATTGTGACTTACTATGGAGAATGGATCCTTTACGATCATCCACAACGAACGTCCTAATGGTTGGACGACGAACAAGCTTTAAAACACTTCCCAAAGCCAAACTTGCAAAAAATGTTATGGTGACTGTTTACACCTCTGCGAGTGGTCTGACCCATCACAGCTTTCTGAGTCCAAGCAAAACCATTATAGTGAAGAAGTATTGTCAACATATTGTTGAAATGCTCAAAAAATTCAACACAGGTGCCCGGCGCAGGCAAAAGTTAGGGGTCAATTCTTCTTCATGATATCGCTCGGTCTCACGTCACATGACCTTTTTTAAGAAACTTTGATTCACCCCCCATATCCCTGACCACTGGCTTACCAAATAAACATTTTCAAGCACCTGGGTAACTTCCGACGAGAAAAAACTTTTGTGACTTAAGGAGATGCTGAAATAAGCTTCGACGATTTCATCGCCACCAGAAATGCAAACTTCTATTCATTCGGAATAAATAAAGTTGGATGCTGTTGACATAGAAGTGTTGATTCAAATGGTTTTTCTTTCAAATAAAAATGTTAACTCCGAGGCAAAATATGTGCATTTAAGATCAAAAAAGGCAATAACTATAGTACTAACCCACTACTAAACACCGGGTTGGCATGTGTGAATTTGTATGCTCCGGAATTGCATAGAACCAAATCCGTTTGACCTAAGGGACCTGATCAATCATGTAAATGCATTTCCGACTCTTTGTGGTATTGTTTTGGAGAGGTCCGCCCTTAAGAGTATCAAGGTATTTTTTAGATAAACCTCTTAGTTAGGTTAGTGTTCCAAACTTCCACATTAAAATTATGACTTTGCGTCATTTATTGACAGGGAAGTCAACTTGAAATTTAGGCAGTAATCACCCTGAACCAACAGTGAATTGCAACTTTCACTGTGTGAAAGTCCACATTAGCACTATGAAAATATCACTTTACTTCTATTTGGCGCAGTTGTGAGATCATGCATGGAGTATGGTACACAAGCAGCAGCAGTTCTATGATTTAAACTTGCAACTAGAAAGACAAGCGATTTACCGTTAGCTGGAAATAACTTTTGCACCAGTTGTTACGCATTTCAGCTAGGTGTTAGCTCGCTTACAGACGATGGTGGGCTAATTCGCCAGTACGTAACATACAGTGTGAAATATTGGTAGGCGGGTTAGTCCGAAAACTGTTTTTTACATACTGCAGCTATTAAATACACAATACATTTAATGGTAAAAAGATGAATAACCAATATGTGAGTGCTTTCTATTACGCGTTATGTTGTGAACTGGCTATCTTTGCCTAATTATGGTGTCCGGCCCTGTGCGAAGACTGATGAGTTCCAATGCCTGTCCAGTAACATCATCTCATACCTGCCGATGTACAATGAAATTGAAGTACGAAACGTCCCACGATGGCTGTTCTCTAATGAGATTGGGCCAGAAAATACCGGCCTACCTATGCGAATTTGTAAGTTTCTGCGTTTAAAATCCAGGACCCAAAAATGAGTAAAGCAATATGAGAGTGTCAGCAGCATTGTAACATGTCTGGCACTCGCGCCTCTTAGAACCGAAACATCTGGGACCTAATCACCTTTGAACTTGTTTCCCGCGATGCCGATAAACACCATTCAGCATTCGGATGAGTTAGTAAGCAATATAGACTAATTGAAGCAGCCCACATTGCTGCACCAGCCGACGTTGCACTTTATGCTCTGTGCCAATATGGTCACAGCTTCATACTTGACGAGAAATATACCCATTATTATTGGCATCATTTGCATTCCTATTAATAATAGTATTATTGTTCTGCTGCTCCTCGCTTTCAAGACCCTGAGCCAAAACGTCTGAATAGTAAATCAATGATACCAGTGCTATGATACGCACCGCGTTCTACCCAATAAAAGCAGCGTGCACAGGAACGTGCGGAATCAGTGGAAGAACATTTTAGTAGGCAGGTGTTACTGTCCTTGCTCACCCACCGTCAGTTACTGCTGCGACAACAACGTAGTCCTCAATTCACAATCACATATTCACAAATTAATGGCCGTGCACCTTCCCATCTCAGTTAAATAATGAATATTGTGTCAGATGTACGCCGTAACGGCGCTCCGCTGCCGTAAGACCACCACAAGTCGAAATTGGGCTGAGTGCACTGCAAGGACGCCACCACTATGCGGATTCGAACCCAGGTCGCTAGATTACGAAACAAGCTCGTTAGCTTTAGACTACGGGACTCAACACAAGAAGATAAGATGCCGAAGATTACACTACAAAGGGATCAAAAGGCAAGTAATATAAGCTTAAATATAATATCAGTATATATGAGATCGGAATTAGTGGGGCACTCTAAAGGACTGGAGGATGGACAAAACACTTCACAATACAAACGCCATTGGGGCCGGCTGTTCGCCATATAAGCATATTTGTCCAACGATACGTTATCATTGCCCATGGGGTCCCAGCCCTGCAACGGAAAGCCACCAACCAACGCCGACTTCGAAGTGAGTGTCTTCATTCCTCTCTACCAAGTAAGCGCTTGATCTCCCCTCCTCCGCTTCCAGCTGCACCTACGGTGAGCAAACCAGGCACATCGTTTGACTTGTTTTGCTGGTATTCTCAACATGTGGCCCAGCTATCGGAGCCTGGTGTGCGATACAATGGTGCTGGGCGGTATACTGGCGCTTCCTGCACCAAATACACATGATTGAAAGCATTCAATTCTCATGCGGTGCTTCCACCTGTAATGAGCTAAGCTGCGAACGCAACAATGTTAGAACCCAGCTAACCGCTTTTTGTATGTCGACCTTATGGATTAAGTTTCACAACAATATAAGAGAGTTCAACTGACGGCAAAAGTGATGTCGCGTCGGCGCAACAGATGGTGGAGAGATGATGGCGCAGGGGAGGGTCGCTGTCAATCTTGCAAAAGGACTTTGCATTTCCAGTGTGCAAAATATAACCCAACTGACAGCCAGTTCTTGTCTGTCCGGTGCTGCTTGGTATCTCTGGATGCCGTCACAGATTAGGGGAAAATCGTCCACGTACTCCAAGTCAAGAATTCGTTCGTCAGAAAGTAGCTGCACTGCTTGTAGGTTGTGTTCAGTAAACACTGCTTTCTTGACTTCATCAATGGCGAAGTTAAACAGGAAAGCATACAACGGACAATCTTGTCGCACACCGCCGGAGATATTGAAGGGCAGAGAAAGTTTGCCGAAAAAAACCCTCACACTGTCCAAACCATGCGCGTACAGCGCTTTGGTAATGTTTGCGTATTTATCGAGTACACCTTTTCTCCGTAGATAGTAACAATGGGCACATCGATCCACTCAACTGAAGCATCTTTGATGTTGAGAAACATGACAATTGTGGATCGATAATAATTATGTCGGTGCATCAACTATTGAAGCAAGCTAAATTTGTGATCGGTGCAGCACCGATTTCGAAGGAACTCGGCTTACTGATCGTGCATCTAACTTCCACGAGTGCCAGTTAGTCTGTGGAAAGCGACAGACGTAAGCAATTTAGAGGCGATTAAGATCAGACTAATCTTTTTCTGGTTACTGAATGGCGAACAGGAGCCTCGCTTGATACTTGAGACCATGACGCAGCTTCTGCATCTGTTTGGGACAGTTTCCTTTTCTCGTAGTTTCACTAGCACCTACTTGTCAGCAGCATTATTATCTTACTCGTGCATCCTAGATGAACCGACTTCTTTAAACACTTCCCTAGTAAACCTAGTAAAGAAAGTTGTTTAAAATATATGAACTGTTGCCAATATTCAGGTAAATTGAGAAGAAACCTAAGACTTCTTTGGATACTGTGCTGTAACTAAACAGCAGCTCTGTCCTCTCTAAGCGTGCCATATAATGAAGTGTCTTTACTGAAATTTCTTCAGTGATTGCAACGAGCAGCAACTCCAGAGGCTAAAGTGAAAGGCTGTAAGCGCAACTTTCACCGTGGAAGTGAGCGTATGGCCTTTATGCAGATATCTCAATTTCGTCTACTTTCTGCCTCGGCACTTCGGTTTCGGAATATTGGTAGGTCAGATTAACGATTCATTCGTTCATCGGTTCACAAAGCTTCGCAGTTGTTTTGCAAAAGTTTCACCACCTTGGGAGGTGGCGTCGTCAGTGCAGTAATCTACAGAATCACGTGACTGAAACCTGCATATCACTGCACTGATGTCACATTACAAAGGGTGAAACATGCGCACATAAACTGCAAATCGATAACTCGACGATTGG